AAACATCACTCATCCCTTTCAGAGAATAATACTGGCAATGGCAGTAAAGCCATGAACTGAGAATGTGAAAGGGTGAAGTCTGTTTTGTGGTTCCCCATTACAGTCCCACTCAGCCACAGCAAGGCTCCCCCCAAATGCTGGACAGACACTGGGATAGCAAATGAGTCCTGCCAAAGACAGTGAACATCGTCCTACCTGTTTCCTCAATCATCTGTCAAAACTAGCTAAAAAAGAACTGCCTGACCCATACTATACCACACCATAGCACACCACATCACACCACACTATATATAACTACTCCAGGCCAGAGATAAATTCTGTCAAGCCCAAAAGGCAATCCATCTCTAAAGTTTATCAGGATTTAAAACCCCTCACTCCATTCTGTGATTTTTCTCAGTCTGCTCTCCCTCCCTTTCCCCTTTCCCCCCACACAGATATCAGCTCCTGGAATGTTCTATCCCACACTGTCATACTGTCTGGGCTTTATTTCCCTGACAGTCATATACATTCCTTGTCCTTTCCCAGCTCTTAGACTTCCATTTCCTATGCAGGCGCTCTATTTCCTTGTCCTCACTTCAATATTTTCTCCATTTCCCAGCTCTAACTTTATCTGGTTGTTAGCTGAAGACTAAAGTGCATTCTGCAGCTTTCTTCAGGAGAAAACATTCATTTTCTCATACCCCATGTGTCACAGGATTGGCAGGGAAGTCAAAACCCTCTTCCTCCCATCACCTCCTCTAGATGACATTTCTTTCATATTTTTTAAGACCGGCACTGGTCCCTTGCAGGAGGTGAGCTGTGGGCAATCAAGCAAAGCTTCATCTGTATTTGCAGCTGCTTCCCAGAACTAGCATCACGCCTCAGCTCCACCTCAGATCATCAGGCATTAGATTCTCAAAGGAACACTGGTCCCTGTTGCCAAAAAGGTTGAGGACTGCTGCTTTAAGACTCCTGTTCTGAGGCTGACACTGTGGGTCTCCACCACCACAGGTCCTTTCATTGTTCTCATCCATCTGCCTCTGTCACCAGAGAAGACTGCAGCAGCCACTCACTGTGCTATACTCCATCCTAGCTCCAGCAGTGGTAACGTCCGTCATGCTGCCCTCACAGATCATTAACCAACTCATCTCCATTGACTTCATTCCTGAATCCATCCGGGCCACACCACACAAAGTAAACTCTACATCTTGTTATCACTAAAATTACACTGTTTCTAAAAACCACTAACCAAACAGCCTATCTGACTACAAAATCCTTACAGATTACCTGCTCAGGTATCCCAACTGCTAATGTTTTCAACATCACTGGAATTTCCAGGCCACTAATTTCCCTTCTTTTCCCATCATCAATCATCAGCCCCCTCTCATCATAACTCTTCCCTTGTCTTGGAGTCTATCAAACCATTTTTGACCCTCAATTGCAAATAACTTAATTTCTCTTGACCTTGCCTTTCTGACTTATCATAGATAGCTATTAAAAACTTAAAAAAGTCAACCATGGATCAACTGTACTATTCTGCTGGTTTGTGTTTTGTATAATTTTCTCCTGGGAAAAAAATTACACAACAGTACAGACTAAATGTTACCAAAACTACTGTCTTCAACGTCACCTGAACCCCTCCACACTCTCCCAAACCTTCCATCAAACTTCACCCTTTGGCTCTCAATAGCTAAAACTGCCTGCTACTTCATGAGGAAACAGGAATTCATCTGTGAGCCATCATTTTCCCCCTTTCCTTTCTGTCACAACATAGAGACCATTCTCCTCTGTCCAAAGCAAACTCCTTACCATTTATGTTTGAGTCTTATCCACCTCATTACCCAGGATCTTTAGGTGATCACATATTCTAAGCTCTTGGACTATTGAACTCTTTCTACCAACATTTAAACATACTCCAGTTTCCTCCATTATTAAAAGGAATAAAAACAAACAAAACAGAAAATAAAAGCTTAAAACTCTACGTGGAATCCACATTTCCCTTTACAACTGTTCAGTCTTTTCCCCTTCACACCTAAACCTCTCAAATAAGTTATCTCTATTTCCTTACATCTTACTTCTCAAACCACATCAACCAATCTTCTAAGGGTCAGTAAAGACCTTTATGAATTAAGTCCAACATGCATTTGAGTATGCATCATACTCAGTGCCGTGGTACTATCAGTCACTATCTCATTCTTGAATTGTTCTTGCCCACTTCCTTTGGTGACATCATACTCTGACAGTTTCCCCGCTGCATATGGGCATTCTCTTGTAATCTCTTTTGCCAGCTTTTTCTCCTCTAGTTAACCTCAAAATGTCAGAGAACCCCACGTTTTGTTCCTGGGCTATCCATTTCTACAACTGCATTCACAACTGTATGTTGCAGATGCTCATAGGCTATAGCCCAGACACTCTTTATGCTCCAGACTAATACTTCAAGTCCACACATCTCCATACATTCAACTGCAATACGTCTCCACTGAGATCTCTTAAAGGCATTTCAAACTCAACATATTCAAAACAAGTCATTATCTTGTCCCCCAGTCTTCTTTTTCTCTCTAGAGCTGCTCATCCCAATAAAGTACATCGTACTCCAGGCCAGAAACCTAGAGGTGATCCTTGACATCTCCTCTCCCTCATTTCGTTCTGGTGCAACTTCCAGTCAATTCTCAATCCCTTAAATATTTCTTTAACTTGCCAATTGATCTTCATCACTACTGTGATTGGCCTAATCCAAGTCATCATTACCTCCTCCTTGGAGAACTTCCATAGCCATTCTTTACTCATTCTAATCTCTTCTCCACCTTGCAACCAGAGTGACACTTTCAACACAAAAATCTAACCATATCATTTCCCTCTTAGCACCTTTCGATAGCTTGTCATCGTTGTTAGGATTAAGTCGAAAATCCTTTCAGCCTGGTCTATCTGACCTGACTCCTATATACTTCTTCAGATAAATGTCACTTGACTTTTCTCTAAATTCAATATTCTGCATCCAAACTGGTCTTTTCCTGTTTCTTGAACCCACCAGGTTCTTTTGCAACTTAGGCATTTGCATGTTGGGATGAGCTTCCTATCTCTAAAGTCTGGATAACTTCTATTTATCTTTCGAGTCACGGTTTATATTTCACTTCCACAGGCTACCTTCCAAGAGTATGTTAGAACCCCTTTTTATACAGCATTTATCTCTAATACAAATTAAATGATTATTTGCTTCATGTTTATATCTCTCATTAGACTATAAGCTGCGAACCTGTGCATATTTCATCATTGTGTCACCAGTACCTAGTCAGACATATAGTTGGTACTCGGGAAATGCTTACTGAATGAACAAATAAGTATCTCATAGTTCTTTACTCAAGATGCTGTTGGTCAAGAAAAGAAGCTTTACATATAAACCAGAAACCCGCATTACAGTATGATTATGTTGCATCAAAATACTGACTGAGGCTGGGTTCCAATGTGTGGTGATATTAGAATAAATATTTATACTTCAAATAAATTTTTATTAAATTTATCAAACAATTAAGAAAGTATGTCTTACACACTTACTATGCTCTCGCAACTTCACAAAACACCTTGAGAGATAAATAGAAATAAGAGCTGCCCTATTCAAAGGGAGCTTTTGGAAATAGCTTTAAAAACAACTTTTAAACAAATCCAAGGAATTGGTTTAAAAATTGTAAATGAGTCCTTAATTAAGAACTATTCTTGTGTTAGTAAATAAAAGAATCTACAAGAAAAGAAACACAGGATATAAAGTGATATTTCTCCAAACTGCATCTCACAATACAGTACACTAAAGCCACCATCACAAAGGCCTGGAATATTAAACCCATAAATAAGCCAACCAACAAGCAAATACTTTCTATTAGCAAGCCCCGATGTCGCTCTGTGTGGACAACATTCCAGTAAACCTTTAATGAAATGCTCTCGATATTTTTTTCAGAACTATTTTAATGTACTTGATTAAATTACCACAGAGTGACTGTCCCTGACCACATTACCCTTTGCTGTCTTCTTTTTTACCACCTTACTGGAAACTGTTTTCCTAGTTTACCTATTTATCACCTGTCTCCCTTCACTAGAGAGAGGATATCAACTTTATCTAATTTGTTTACCATTGTATCTCCAGCACCTACTATAGCAGCGATCGGCACATAATACATATTGAATAAGTATGTTTTATAAAAGAATAAAGAATCCTAAAGACAACAACAATTAACACCTGAAAGCATTATTTCGGTATGTCCTGACTAGAGTGCTGTATGATAATCACTATTTTATTTTCATTTCAGATCTTAGCATGTCTACAATCAATCTCTGATTTTCTATTTCCAAATGTTACGAGCTACTCCCTATATCAAGCAGCGTGAATAACTTCTAATTTATTCCAAGTCTTCTATGAAAATAAAAGTAAATCGGGTAAGAGTAAATCAAATTGTAGAGTTCTTTCTGCAAGGATAACAAAGAAATGGAAAATATACTTATAAACTAGAAGTTATCTGAGTAATTAATGATGCTTCACACTCACACAATACTATCGTAAAACGTTTTCATGGATCACCATTCACACCATTCAAACGTTTTCATGGATCACCATTCACACCATTTATAGTTGCCATAAGGCAGTTGCTGTAGTTGCCCATCGAATATCCATTCCCTCCTTTCTTGCTGGCCAAACTCTGATTTAGTTCAGGGCAGCAATGTGCCC